GTATTTTTGTGACTTTAGCACCATAAAGTTCATTGATTGGAATCACTGTTGTAATTACAGTTGTACACGTGAATTGTTGCTGCCATAAAACAACACTTTTCGTGGAATTTCGTACCAGCTCACCAAACCTACATGCTTCCAGAACAGACATTTAAGGGGAATGTGGAAAAGAAACAGAAGCCATTTGCCTTATTAGACGTCAGTGTACCATCAGAATGATTTTAAAACTGATATTGCAAGGTTTAAAAAATAATACATACAGTTGCTATGAGGACTTTAGTTGCATTATTTGAGCATTTCTGGATCATACCTTTTAGAAAGCTCTAGCATTAAAATAAACTGTATTCACTTTTTTCTAACCTAGTAAAATATGCATTTTTATTTGAAGAATGCAATTCATTTTGTACTTGTTGCAATTACATAATACTTGTTTTATGTTTGTTACTTTTTTATGTTTTTTTTTTATAGTTATCCTATGTATTCTTGAATTTTTAATTTTTTACAGAATGGAATAAATTCCCCAAAATATGATGGTGTGAATGTCATGTTGTTTACACAAAAAAATCATGTGTGTGTGTGTGTGTGTGCGTTTTTGTGACATATGAGGACATACATTTGTATAATGACAAAGGTATGACATAGGTATTACAAGGAGAAGGTGACTTTTCAGGACATTATGTCCCCACTTTTTTATAAATCACACAGAATGGAGTGTATTGAAAATCTGAAATAGCACAAAGTTTCCTGTAAGGGGTAGGTTTAGGGGTAGGGTTGGTGTAGGGCAATAGAATATACGGTCTGTACGGTATAAAAACCATTACGCCTATGGGATGTCCCCACTTTTCACAAAAACAAACCTGTGTGTGTGTGTGTGTGTAAATGAGAGTTATTGCAGGTAGCATGTGGTCTGACATTTATAAGTGCCAGCCCGTTTCCGTTCACCGCTGTGGAGCGCGGCTTGTGTAACCAGACGACAAGTCAAGCTTATCTTCCCCACGTGACCTGAAAAAAAATAATTTTTGCACTCAGTGAACCATAACACAGTATTTTTTCTAGAGAGGGAGGAGAAAGAACATCAACATGCTTTTTGACTTTATATGTGCCTATGTGACTTTTATGTGACCAGGCTTAAAATGCAATGACCATTTTAGTACAGCTTGAAAACGTTTGAAAACCCCGGTTCTAACCTATGTGAGTTTTTGAGTATGTTGTTTATGATCCCTGCCACACAGCATCCTGGTCCTCCTCATGTACATGCTGCTCCTGCCTGAATTTGAACATATTTGAGGAAACTTGGTCTAACTGTTGATATTTCCACCAGAAGGCAGCAGGGAGCTCATGACTGAGGGATGAATTAAACAGAGACATATCGGGGAGGTAACAGACCGCTTGTAGGAATATGAATGGGATATAATGGAATCATACTGTATATAGCAGTTGTCCCGCCTTTGATACTTAGGTACACTGCTGTTCAAACGTTTGTGGTCAGGATTTTTTAAAAGAAAGAAATCAATGCTTCTATTCAGCCATAATGCATTAAATTCATCAAAAGTGACAGTAAACACATTTATAATTGAATAAAAGATTTCCATTTCAAATAAATGGTTTCCATGAAAAGATTAAGCAGCACAACTGTTTTCATCTCTGATAATAAGAAATGTTTCTTAAGCAGCAAATCAGCATATTAGAATGTTTTCTGAAGGATCCTGTGTGACTGAAGATTGGAGTAAGGATGCTGAAAATACAGCTTTGACAACACAGAAATAAATTACAATTTATATATTAAAATAGTAAACCGTCATTTGTAATTATTTTATTCAATGAATATTTTATTCAATGGAAAATAGCAGCATGAACATTGTGCCTACTATCTGTTTTTGTGTACCACAGAAGAAAGAAATCCATATCGCATTTGAATGACATTGGAATGGGTGATTTTTTTTGTTTTCATTTATTTATTTATTTAATCAGGGAATATACACATTCATAATACATAAAATCAATGTAAAATGTTTCAGATTTAGACAGAGTGGCTAATTTTCATTTGTATAGTTCCAGGGCAGGTTGATGTGGAAGCAAAAAGAAGAAGAAGAAGAAGAAAAATCAAACCACAATGACTTTTTATACCTTTTATACCTTCTGTTGGAAGTCTAGTCATGTGTTCCTCTCAAGGAAAATGATGGGTGAACTACTGAGCCACTGAATGAGCTATTTCTTTCATTTCTGAAATATTTAAACATTCCAGAAAGTTCTTACTAAACCCAGTAAGAAAAGCTTCATAATAATGTTTTTCACAGATCCTGACATCAACGGAGAATAATTATGCGTGCAAAGCTGCAGTGGAAAATGTTGGACAGCAATATTGAAAGGAAAATGAGGCAGCAGATGGAGAGGAATGCAGCACGGCAGCAGCTTTTTGTCAATCAAATGTCAATGACAAACCTTAATTTTCTTTCCATATGAAGAGAATGAGATGATTACTATTGCATAAGTAACAGGAATTCAACCAGTGACCCAGACATACTAATGCAAAACAGATGAGTGTGTGAAGGGTGTGTGTTACATTTAATGTTTCCAGAACCTCAAAAGTCCTTCTTTTATTACACTAAATTTTTTAATGATCCATATCTGCTGGAAACATAAAGCCATACATGCAGTATTGGCTATCATTTGTGAACTCTATTATTAATGTTGACACTTAGACTACTCCAGTCATATATTCTCTTATTATTTCTATTGCCTTGCACTATGTTACTTTGGAAAACTTAATTATTCCAAGCAAAAGTAATCACCTCTCCCCCCTTCCACTATTTATTTATTTATTTATAATTATTAGAAAAATACTACGTTTCTTTTAGGTTATGGGGAACTCTAGAGTAATTATAATCCTTTTTTTTTTTACATAAAAAATACATGAGTATCATTTAAATATAGAATATAGTATAGCAGGGTTCCTCAATTAGTTTTCGCCAGGGGCCGAATTCTGCCAACAATACCAAGCCAAAGGCCACTGAATATTCAGATTTTTTCCCCAGTAGTCTGTTTTATTCAACCAATAATGAACATTTTTGCATTTAGATACTTTGCCTGTTGAATATTAAAAACAAATGAACAAACAAAAAATCTGGATCTCCATGTCTGCCATGCAGATCAA